AAAAAAAAAAAGCAAAAAAAAAAAGCAAAAAAAAAAGGCAAAAAAAAAAAAAAAGTCCTTGCACTGACAATTGTTCTCTGACCTGTGGCTTGTTCCTTCAGGGCCTTTGTGTTTTCTATTGACATGTCTCAATGAACCTGTCTAATGGACAAAAAAAAGAAAAGAAAGGAAAAGAAAATCATATACTGCACTGCACATCTGTTCATCCACAGCTTTTGTTTCCTTTTTTTTTTTTTTTTAATCAACAGCCTCAGTAGTGTATATAGATCTTAAAAAATATATATATATAGCCTCCTGATGAGTCGGTGAAACTCCGACGAAACAGTTTGTCACAGCCCCTCGTTTGTTGTCCTCTTCTCTCTCTCTGCCTACGGTTTACCGGGCAGTTCTGTTTGTGACGATATATATCTTAAAAAAAAAAGAATAAGGAAAAGAAAAGCATATACAAATAACGGAAAGCAAATCTTGACCAGGTACATATCATATCGAGGCATAACCCCTCTTCTTTTTGGGGTCCCCTTTTCTGATCTCATACCAATAATGTTCCAGTCTCCCATTTAGATCGTTTTGTTTTTCTTTTGTTTCCCTCAAAGTTATCAGACCTACTTGCAAAAATCTTTACCTCGTTCGCACGAAACAAACCAGGTCCATTTTGCTCGAACTCAAAGACCTACTCTGCTGCTGGACAATTTCAGTATATTACTATATTTTAATTTACAAACTATAAATAATCAAATATCTTTATTTTCTTTTACTTTTTTTTAAAAGGTTGCGTGGAGGCTGGAAGTATGGACAGGGCCACCACTAGTACCTTTGGCGCGTGGGAAAATAGCGGGCCTCCGGTGGGCCACCGACCTTTTCGGAGGCCGAAACGAAACGACGGCCGCCAATCAGATTTATCAATGGCAGTCGTCGTCGGGCCCGGCCTCCGAATCTTTAGGAGTTTGGGAAAACAGCCAGTTTTCCCTATTTTCCCATGCGGGAAAGGTACCCAGGCGCCCAGCTAACCCCCCTCCCCCCCCCCAAATACTGTGTTCACCACGAGAGAGCCATCACACCACCCCATAGAAGACCCATACATACTGAACCCCCGTCCCGGACAGAACACTACAAGGACGCTACAGACCTGGAACCCCCATACATCAGCGTACACAACCAGTGGGACCGTCCCCCCAAGGAGTACCAGGCCTTAAGATGCGACTGCGCCAGGGTCCAATCGAAAGGGACCTTGCAAGAGAAGGCCCTATTTCAAGACCATTGTCGTCCCCCCAAGGAGTACCCGGCCCTAAGATGCGACTGCACCAGGGTCCAATCGAAAGGGACCTTGCAAGAGCAGGCCCTATTTCAAGACCATTGTAGCCTACTTGCAGCTTGCGCCACAAGTGCTCACCTGTAGCCTACTTGCAGCTTGCGCCACAAGTGCTCACCTGAAGGTGGGCCGGCCTCGAACCCGCAACCTGCATTTTACAATGCAGGCGCCCAAACAACCAGGCTCTGAACAGTCGCTCGCTAGATGCGAATGACCATTACGTCCGTTGACACCCCCCGGTGTATTCTGCGCAGCAGGTACGGAGTTTTGAACCCGCAACCTTAGACCACAAAGCGCATTTCCAACCGATGCCCTAACCACTAGGCAATTGGTATACATTATAGTCCACACACCGCCGACACAGACCTTCTCGTGTCGGGCTCCGTCCAAAGGTTTGCTGTGTGTCGCCGCCCTTTAGAGACTGTCGCGGTTTGGAGGCGCTGATCAGGAACTAATGTGCTTATGTGAGTCCTACTCCCACGGAATGTGTGCTCGAGCGGCATACCACAGTCCATACCTCACTAGTAAATAGTAAATACCAAGCATGCTGAACAAGTCAATAGGTACATCGAAAAACGGTCTGAATGGACGTTTAAAGTTTTAAAGTTTAAAGTTTAAACTCGACAGTTCACGGTTCAAACTCATTTCACACAATAGGAGCACAAGACTAGCTAGTTTCAAAAAATAAATTCATGTCAGAAATTCATGTCAGAAATTCATATCAGAAATTTATGTCAGAAATTTAGAGAATGGGGTTGCACAAGTTGCCACACAACAGAAGATTATACAATTGTTTTTTTTTTTTTTTTGTCTGTTTTCTACCCTGACATTTTGACTCCAGTACTTCTGATCTCCTTAAAACCACCACTACGCCCGAGACTGTTTTTGCGGATCTGAAATCATGCTGCGAGCCAAACAAAGATGGACCGGGGCGGGCACAATTTCTTTTTTTTTTGGCTGGCGGTCCCAGCCATTTTGGTCTGGTAGCCCTGAGCCCCCGGAAAGTGGCGGATGTATGCATTTACAATTTTGAATTTTACTGAATTTTGA